GGTGGGACCTTACTACGTCATCGACATCAGCTTGCAGGGGGTTTCCTGCCTTCAGGAGGCAGGATCTGGGGGCCACCACCATTGTATTTATTAAAGTGATACTTTGGTGTATGGATATTTACTAGCTTCTACCTTACGATGATGTAAAGCATAGATAAACATACGACCTGTTTTCATGGATTTTAATATAGGTGGATTTTCTGGTATAATTAACTAAACAGTTTAACTATATATATCATCATGCAGCCCCGTGGGACTGTGGTTCAAGGACTCTACTGCTCTCCTATGCTTTGTACAGAAGTACTGTTTTACTCCATGTACTGAGAGCTGCTCTAAGAACTATTAAGCTCAATTAACTTGACAGAGCAGAGCAATAGGCTATTGTGTGAATGCATTGTTATACTTATTTAAAAGTCCAATTAATTTTAATTAATTAAGAGTCAAGGAATTCTTCAGCTTCTGAAGGAACTCCTAGCACATGCAGTGAAATGTCGGACATGGTGCCTAAAAGCACACCGTACAACCTTACGAAACAAAAACAACCTCAAACACCTAAGCAGGTGTAGTAGGTTCCAGGAGACTTGGACGACGTAGTTGGAGGCACACTTATTTATTAACCGCAATGTACATAACAGGCCGAGATGTACAACACTCGAAGGGGTATCGGCCCCTTCACCCGTCTAACAGGGAGATCACACAATCTATGTCACGGCTAGCCTACTCCTAGGTCCTCCACTACAGGGCTAGGGGAGGCTAGCTCTGGTTAAGCTGGGATTACGGCACCCTGAGTCCCCAGACCGGCTCTTACAAGAGCATCGGCTCTGGGCTCTCGGGGCCACGTCACTGGCTTGCCCTGGTCGGTCCTGAGAAGGACAGCGATCCAGGGGAGTCCCAGGGCTTATCTAACCGGTCTTCTTGCTTCGCTGGTTAAAGCTGAACACTGAACCCCGAGCCCTCCGGCTCACCGCCTTATATAGCAACTCCCCCACTGAGGGGTGGGGCCGTGGGGGATCCCAGCGCCGTGTTAGCCCCCCAGGCTAAACGGTGCGGACGTGGATGTAAGCACCTCTTGGCGTACGGGCATAACCACGCCCAGTGTGTTTGTTTGCCCTCCGTAACACCTCTACATAGGTGTGAGTTCCAGGCTTAGCTGGCAGTCGATTCAGCCCAGTATCCATCTGGTGGTGACAACATAGACATCACTCTGTGGGATATCAGCAATGCTCTTTATCAACAGAGACAATTGAAATGTATAATGTCCTATCACTGACTCAAAGCTGTAAGCTGAGAACACTGCCCCATTGTTCATTTGAGCAGAGGGGGAACTCTGACTTTTAATTACATTGAACATGTATGCATTGGCTATTGTGTGCATTAACACCACAACCTTGTGCTCAATTTTATCAACTTAAATAAGTTCTATCCTGCGAAGTAAAGAAAATACATCATTATACCCAAAATGCCCTACGGCGTGTTTTCTGCTCAAATTTTCTCCGAATTTTGATGAACAGAAGGCTGAGCTCTATGAGCCAAGTTTGTTAACAAGACTAAGGTTGAGAATTAGGTTTTGAGGGCCTGTAATCAAGCAACGTGGCCATGAATAATGTTTTCATGGCTCTGGGTGGACAGTGCACAAGTGCGAACATATCTTTGAAAAGCTTTATGGTCAGCAACCAGCTTAGGAGCACAGACCACCACATTCATCATCACTGCTGAGAACGCCGTTAGAACTGCCAAGCGCAGCAGAACATGTGTCAGAGCGACAGTGGAGGGGTGCACAAGTGTTTTTGGCAGTATGGTTGATGTAGGTTGGTCGGTGCAAACTGGACTGGAGCCTCCGGCAGTCTTGGCCCTGTTTGGGGTGTGACCAGAATTTACTGTGTTCACTTGTGTGGCACAAGGTACAGTGGTACCTCGGTATACGTCGTTAATTCGTTTCAGAAGGTAGGACTTATACCGAAAATTACGTATACCAAACGAATTTTTCCCATACGAAATAAAGGGAAGGGAAATAATCCGTTCCAGAGTATAAGAAATTATATTTTATATAGCATATTATACATTCATGGGGTTGTATAAAATAATTTAGACACTACTTATTACTAAAATGCATACATACATTTCAATAAATGCATAAATAAATGAAAATAAATTGAAATAAAAATCTACTTTAACATCACTTTACCTTGCTGAGAGGAGTTGATAGCCTACGAGGATGGTGGTGAGGAAGGGGAGGAGGAGGAGATGTTATTTTTTGGAAGGAGAGTCCCCTTCCATTAAAACTTCAATATGCTGAAATTCTGGGGATTTTTATCTCTTCTGTCTTTTTAAATCCTTTATATTAAGTTCGCTTGCTTGCTTGCTTGCGTGCTTGCTTGCTTACGACCGTGCAAATCTTTCGGTCGTTTTTTAACTCACTTCCCGTGATCCAATCGAGCTGACATTTTGCACACAGACTCGTTGTGCGAGACAATTAATGTTCGTGAAAAAAATGTCGAAAATTTTACACTGTTTAGGGAAAACAAATTAAATATTTAATTACCAATTGCTTAATACTGGCAGACAATCATCTGACCCATAGGTGGCAGCCATCTCAAGCCAGAGGACGAGAGGACTCAAGCCGCCACGCATATAAAGGATTTATAGTGAAAAACTTAGTTTTTACGGGTTATACTTATTTCTTGACTTGGACCTGGTTGAGGCTCACCAGGTTTGAGTTTTACTAAAAACCTGTCCATTGAAGTTTGTTTTTGCCTTCTTCTAAGAATGTTCCTGAAGTGTGACATTATCTGGTCATTCCACACAATACTGTTACGGCTTGTTAGAGCCGTAACAGTATTGTGTACGCAGGTACTGTACGCGGTGACTCATCCCGACCCATACAATTTCTAGCAAGGGCATCGTATTCCAAGCAAGACGTCGTATCCCAAGACATTTTTTTCTCGTCAAAACACGACGTGTACCAAATTCTACATATTCAAAAGCGGTCGTATACCGAGGTATGACTGTAGTTGAGTTCAACTTGACCTGTTCATCCCTTTGGAATCAAAGTCAACAGTGGCCATACCGTAGGTGGGCCAGCCCCTACAATGGAAATGTGGAATATCCAGTATTGTATTATTTGGGTCTTTCGGTAAAGTCACGTAGATAGGTTCAAAGAAAATAACAAAAAATAACAAAAAACTACGACATTTCGATCGCAACACAAGCGTTCGTCATCCGGAAGAATAAAGAGAGGGGGACAGCTGCTGAGGCAGACTGTTTTAAAGGTTTACAATGGGTGTAGCCCAAGAGTCATAAACGGGGCTAGTGATGTTATTATGTGATAAATTATCCTGTTAATGTAAGATCGGAGGGCGACATCCACGACAAGGGCGTGGAGGTGGCTATGTTACTATGAGAGATTATCATGTTAATGGAAGATCGCAGAGCAGCAACGTCGAGCTCGGCGAGCGAGGTGGCTGTTAGTGTGGGATATTTACTTGTTAATGTCAAATCAGAGTGCCGAAAATACAACAAACATCGGAAAGTGGTAGGATGGGAACATCACAGCCAGTTATGATTTAAACTGGTTGATAACATCCTTCCAATGATTGCTCAGTTTATACCCATCTTCTCGATTGAAGTTGTGACTGTACAGTGAGGGAAAAAAGTATTTGATCCCCTGCTGATTGTGTACGTTTGCCCACTGACAAAGAAGTCATCAGTCTATAATTTTAATGGTAGGTTTATTTGAACAGTGAGAGACAGAATAACAACAACAAAATCCAGAAAAACGCATGTCAAAAATGTTATAAATTGAGTTGCATTTTAATGAGGGAAATAAGTATTTGACCCCCTCTCAATCAGAAAGATTTCTGGCTACCAGGTGTCTTTTATACAGGTAGCGAGCTGAGATTAGGAGCACACTCTTAAAGGGAGTGCTCCTAATCTCAGCTTGTTACCTGTATAAAAGACACCTGTTCACAGAAAACCGGTTTTTTTAGACACCTCATGACAAAATATGTATTTTATCCTCCGTATGAATAGTTCGATGACCTGATCGACTTTCATGGCTTAATAACCGACTGGTGGGGGCAGGAGAGGTGGTGCTGTTTTTGTGTTATTGACCTATTCGGATCACTGCTTAATTCATTCCGTTGAGTGCGAGTTTGCCGATTCACTTCTGGAAGACTTGCTGTGACGAAGTGCACGAACATCTTTGCTGTAGTGTGATGCGCACTTGACAGTCGCTGGTGTTTTTTACCTCCCATTTTAATCGAGACGATCAGTAAGTAGGAAAGGGCTGTGTGATGTTGAGTGCAAACCACACATGCTTAATTGGTGATTTTGTGAACCATTTGTCTCTAAGATTCTTGTGATTTTGTGGATGTGCCGAGGTAGTTTTAGACGCTTAAGGAGTTATCTATATACATACTCCCACACTTGTGCGACAGACCATGAGTTCCTGAATTGCACAATATTTGGCACAATCTCCTGCATAATCTATAGGGAGCTTTTATTTGCTGTTTTTTTTTATCAACTGGCCACATGCCTGCTGATTTTGTTGTGAGTTTTTGCCGAGTCTGCCACTGTTGTTGTTGTTGTTAGGGATGTTTTGGTGCTGTGCCCCTCTTGTGAAGCTGTATTCTTACGTCTCTCTCTCTCTTCCCACCATCCCCTCACCCATGTGTGCTGTGCTGGCAGGGAGGTCATATTAAGCGAAGGTCCGTGCAAGTATCCATAGTGCAACCCCCATCGCCATTCTGTTAATTCAGTGTTTTCTGTAAGTTGCCCCTCCCCAGCACGCTGCTCTTTGCATCGATCTTTCACTCGCTATCAGCAACGGCGCCACCAATCTCCACTCACGAGTGCCGCCGCATTCTCTTGCAAGTCCCATAGTTTTCTCAAACACGTGCTTTTCCCACTCTCTCTCCTAATCGTGGCCACACAGTCTACAACCCCTCCCGAGCTCACCAGAACATTTCCATAAGCTGCTCACACCCTCCCGTGCTTTTCAGAAAACTGTCACACGCGCCTCAGCTCCGCCGAGCCGTCCGTGTGCTCCCCGTGCCGCCCTGCTCGCTCGTCCGCCTCCCCTCTCCCCCACCCCGCGCCACCATGGGCTTTGTGGCGTGGCTCAAGACGCAGTTCATCTGCCAGCTGATGCTAGGCTACGTGTTCCTCATCAGCGGCTTCATCATCAACTTCGTGCAGCTGCTCACGCTCGTGCTGTGGCCCATAGACCGGCAGCTCTACCGCCGCGTCAACTGCCGCCTCGCCTACAGCCTGTGGAGCCGTGGGTTGCACATCCTGGCGCATTAATGCCGCACGGCCAGGAAACCACACAACTACTGGCAGTACCGCTACTGCCACAGCTAACACGACCCCCACCACCGCCACCACCAATGCCACAGCCACCGCCGCCACCACCTCCACTGTCACCGCCACCACCACTGCCACCACCACTGCCACTTCTGCCACAGCCACCACCACTGACATCGCCACCGCTACCTCTACTGTCACTACTGCCACCTCCATCGCCACCGCCAGCGTCACCACCACTGCCACTACTGCCACTAGAACCACCGCTGATGCCACCACCACCACTATCACTACCTCGGGGACCACCACAGACGCCACTGCCACCCCAGCCAAATACTTACCGGTTTAATGGCTTTATGGGTGCTAAATCAGCACCTCTGATCCCTCTGGGTGAAAAAGATGCATCTTGCTTAGTGGATTTTGTGTTTTCAACACAATGAACCGTGATTGGACAAATCGCTAAACTGCCATCGTATCCTGGAAAATCTCATTCATTCACACTAATGCAGGAGGGTTTGCCTTTGTGACGAGTAGAAAGATGGTCCTCTTGTGAATAATTGAAAGTTAATTGTGTATATTTGCAAAATACAATAACATGCAGACGTATGAATACATCAAGGCCGAGTAAGATAATTAATCTCTCTATGCTGATAATGTGTTTTATATTTATTACCACAAGCAATACTGTCTAATTTGCATTTGTAAAGCGGCACTCTACAAGCAGGTTATTTGCAACATTGTATATGTATTTTTCTGTAGCGATAACATAGAATAGTTAAAAGATATGAATATAAAATAGTACGGATGAAACAACACATGATACATGCATCTACATATATTGATGACAGCACACTATTAAAGACCCAAGACTGGAGGACATTTTTACATTTTTGGCAGCTGCCTGATGATGCTTGTTGTAACAGCAAAACGTCCGTATCCAAATGTTGTGTGTGTGGATCGCTGTCCAACACACCAATGTGCTGAGGCTGTAATATATTGACATGGTTGTTGTCATGACAACTTCATTAATTTTCTGTGTCGGGTGGATGAAGCTGTACGATACACATTTTACTTGCACGATCTGACCCAAAACTGTATTGTGAATCATAATATTTAAAAATGTGTTTACAATTTAGATTAATTTTACACAACATGCTGATTTTACATTTAGGTCCATGGCACCAATACAACTGTGCAAACCCATTCTCACGGGCCACTGATTCCAGTGTACCTGCGACCTGGATAATGTTTAAAGAGTAATTCAGCCTTTGCACATCGAGCGCGATCGGAACTCTCGCTTGAACTGCCGTTGCTGCCGGTGCTGCGCAGAGCTGGTGATGGTCCTGGAGCACTGGTCTGGCACGGAGTGCACGCTGTTTGCCGAACCGGGCACTGTGGACCAGTTCGGCAAGGAGCACGCCATCGTGGTGCTCAACCACAACTACGAGGTCGACTTCCTGTGCGGATGGACCATGTGCGAGCGCTACGGCGTGCTGGGGGTACGTGGCACCGGAGCCGTGGCAGTTGGGAGAGCAAAGTGTGTAATGCCACGGTGGCAAGATGGTAACTACCTTTCCAAGTATACAGGCCGTGGATTCGATCTCAACCCTGACCCCTGTTGCATATTTGGAGTTTGTATGTCTCTCTCCCCACGGTCGCGTGGTTTTTCTCCGTGTCCTCCACATTTATAATTGAGTATTTTGATGCTATACATTTCCACGAGATAAGCCACTTTGTTGAGCTATCATTTGTGACCAGGTAGCTTCAGAAAAAGAGCTACATAGCTCAGTGGGCCTTATGTGATAAAATACAAATAGTAGTTAATAGTTAATATTGATTATTGCTAGAGCTAGGCTAACCGATTGTTTAAGTAAGTGATTACCCTTCCGATTATAAGTTTGAATACTGGATTAATCCTTTTGGGGGAAAAAGTATAATTTCCTCTGACACTGATTTATAGTAAATTCACGGAACCAAGGGGAGTGACTCGTGAGATGCTTACTTGGACCCGCTGGCTTACTGAATGTCCATATGTGGGGACATATGGACATTCAGTGGTGTACTCATTAACAGGCAACCATATGAATCAGAATATTTTCTGATATGAACTCAGTGACCCGAGATTGATTGTCAACCATGGTTAACATCAGTCGTGAGTAATATTGGGACCCGTTATGACCAATGTGGTGGGGTGTGCTCTCACAAGCCACGTGATGGAGGGGCTTGGGGAGACTTTCATCGAACAGTGGATTGATAAAGAGCTTTACATAATAATCATGAATCCTGTTTCTTGAAGCAGAGTAATTAGCTAAAATACTTTTTTTCTGGTTCCTTGAGATGTACTGCATGATGATGCCCCTGCAAATAGGAATGTGGATATTCCACCACTTGCTCAGGGCTATTGATGCTTTGAATACCTCTTGGAGCTTTATTGAGCAGTCAGACCCCTTTTAATTATTATTAGCTCGTATAGATAAGTGTCTGTAATAATACAGTGGCACTTGCTTTATAACATTTTATGTCGAGATTTAGTGGAAATCATTGCGTTCATTCTTTGTGTAGTAAATGGGTGTCATATTCTGTATTATTTTAGATATTTTGTGACTTCCCCTAATCTCTTTGTCTTTTCTTTAATCGTCTCTGTTCATCCGCTATTATCTCTGAATTGCCTTCTGTCTGGGACGATCTGGATTTTGGAGAATACCCGTAATTGACCAGCACTCCGCGAGAAAGCCCCATCTGCTGAATTGTTCACTTTAACCACAACCAATGCCACTACAGTGTCCCCATAGGTTGGTCACTAGGAGCCGAGATTCATAGGAGGCGTGAGTCAGAGAACACAGCATGGTCGTGAAAAGAATCGTCTATTTGTCCTCTTTGTTTTTGCATTCTGTGTTGGCGTTCTTTTTTCTCTTTGTGTTCTCACAGCTTTTCACTTCTCTCGTGCATCTGTCATTCTCACTCTTTATTTGTCAATTCCTTTTGTGTTCTTCCCTCTACGATCTATCTCTGTCCTTTAAACTAACACATGCAATGTTTTTAACATACAGTGCCCAAGATCCCAGCATTACTGTGAGATGGAGTATGACCTGATTTATTGATTGCATCCTCTTGAGATTTCTCGTGAGTGCTCCGTTCTGTTGTGATCAATAGGAAAATCGAATAACTGACAGATCAGTCTTTTGTTCACGCCCAACATGGGCGCTCGGGCTTTTTCATTTTGCTAATCAAATTTAACCAACTAGGTGGCTGAGCAGTAGAGCAAGTGGCTCACAATCAGAAAGTTCCAATCATGGTTGAGGATTGACTTCAACCCATTATCCCTCTGGGGTCGTTAAAATAAGTACCACTTTGCGGGGAAGTCAGAATCAGAATATTTATTTATACTGGAGGAATCTAATGAGCTATAATGCAAAGTACAAGAAAGGTAAAGAAATCACCCATACACATAAAACTAAACCATCCCCATTATACCAAGCAAAGCCCACTAAGGTATGAACTTCTCTTTCAGAAGCGACCTGGCCACAAATGATAGCTCAACAAAGTGGCCCACCATTTGGACATTTATAGCAGCAAATAATAATAAATCATCTCAATGCATGGTTCTAAATGTAGAGGGAAAATCGTTGGTAGCCCTATGGTCCGACTCACCACTGTCATAGGAACGTGGAATTTCTACGACTGGCTCAGGGCTGTAAACAATAGATGAGCACTACCTCGATGCTAGTACATTCATTGCCTTCCCATCTTATTAAAATGCATATAACCCAAGCCCTTGGTTACAAGAAAATTTCTTACACTGCCTTTGATAATTATTTAACTGTGGAAATGTGAGGAGGTTCATTCGAGCTGGTCTGGTGTATATGGGTTTTCTCCAGATATCTAGATTTTATCTGACTCATTGCCCTATCTCTCTTTAACTTTAAACTGTATCCATTCAGTTCACACAAACAATATTATGAAAAACGATGGTTAAACTATCACAGCTATTGTATCTCAAGATGGCATTGGGTAACTCTCGAACTATAATGCACGTCTCACTGAACATTCTCCTTATGTTGTAACACCACTACCTCTAAATCAGACCACAGTTGTTGGTCATACTATCATGAAGATTGTCGGAAAGTTGACCTTGCACTGAAGCTTTGCATTAACAATGGTCATGACATCCTCCATTGACTCACCCCTGCTGAATATTTCCCTCTCATCTTGCTCTACTGCCCTTCACGTGCTCTCCTCACAAGAAGCAAAAGTTTTTGTTCAAAACCCCTCTAATCGCCTTCCACTCAATTGAGATTACTCCTCCGCAGTTGCCCCTGTGGTCTAGAATTGTCTCCCTATGGTATTTTACACTACGATTTGACTCGCATTGTTCAATTCCAGGCTCAGGACCATCTTCTCTGCTGCGTATGAATAACTATCTCTCCTTTATGAAATACTTTCATTTGCACTCTACCACAGCGTTGTTTCTACCACAGCGTCTTCTAAAATTTTCAGCTGGTCCCCATGATGTTCATGGACAGCATCTTACGTTTCAGATGCATTCAGACATAAAAAATGTTTTGTGTTGAATGCCCTGGCCCAGGCCTCCAAAGTGCTGGCAAAGCGGGAACTGCTGAAGGTGCCCCTCATCGGTTGGACGTGGTATTTCCTTGAGATCGTGTTTTGCAAGCGGCGCTGGGAGGAGGACCGCCAGGCCGTTCTTCAGGGCCTCCACAGGATCCGAGACTACCCCGAATACGTCTGGGTATGTTCCCAGGACCGAGGCTCCCATGCCCGGCGGCTTGCCTTTGTCTGTAGGCTGGCACCATGTGTTTTACTGTAGGTAAGGGTGCCCTGGTGGTTCACGCATCATGGTGACTTGAATTCCGTTCGTAGTCGGGGTACGTAACAAACATCAGAGGTGTTTGGCGAGTGAATCTGGCCCAGACATGCGATATGTTTACTTCATCTAAAGTGAATGCACGGTTTGGGGTCATCTCACATACATCAGCACTGAGGGTGCAAAGTCAGCCAGGCATATGCTCTGTTGGCTGTATATCACCAACCTCTTTGTGGTGATCCTGCCTGAATAAGTGTTTGTCCACAGCGCTTGCTTCAGCAGCATTTTAGGCTCAACTGCTTTGGACAAATTACGAGAAGGGGTAGCGTTAACCTAAAAAAGAAAATCAGATAAGGAGAGTGTGATGGGTGTAGGGGAAGGCCAACAACAAGGTAGGAAGGCATTGGTTAAATATAACATGAAATGAATGCAGCAGCAGGAAAAACGGCACAAGACTGGACGATGTGGAGGGTACCCATCTTTGATGCCACAAAGTTCCTCAGGGGATCTAGTAATTTGTGGTTTCCATGGACTGCCTAGTTGAGTTGACTCAAGTGCACTAGAATATAGGCCTGATTTTATATTTTCACTTTGCTAGAATTTACACTGAGAATTCAGTACAGCCCGAGCAGTGAAATCACGTGTGACCATTTGGGATCCTGCCCGAATTTGGCAACCAGCGTGAGTTGTCTATAAACATGGAAATGGGGTGCAATTTGGGTGGGACAGACAATTTTAGTCTGTACTCAAGTTCTGCAATTGATGGAAACGGAATATAAATAACGAGACTGGTGGCATCTGCACCTGTGCCTGCACGCACGCGCATGTGTGTGTGTGTGTGTGTCCGTCGGTCCGTCCGTCGGTCCGTCTGTCCCGGCGGCAGTTCCTGTTGTACTGCGAGGGCACACGCTTCACGGAGAAGAAGCACCGCATCAGCATGGAGGTGGCCAAGGCAAAGGGGCTGCCCGAGCTCAAGCACCACCTCCTGCCACGCACCAAGGGCTTCACGACAACCGTGCACTGCCTGCGTGGCATGGGTGAGAGAGATGGTGCTGGCTTGCGCAGAGCACGCGTCGCGTCGTGTGGCCGCGTGACGACACGGAGAGGTGTCTCTACCGCTGTGCGCGCTGATGGACACGGTCCGCGCCCCGCAGAAAAGCAGCGACGGGCGATGACGCGTGCTGCGCTGTTCGACACACGACGAACTGAAATGCAACAGATGTGCGACGCTGTTCGACAGAATGCTTAAATCACACTTGCTACATTGGCCAACTTAGGACAGCACTGAAATGATACTCGCTGCGGCGGCCAATGGATCTTGATATAGAAATACATTGCACGTGCTCCACTACACTACTCAACACAAAGCGATATCGTAACACATTACACATGGCGCACCACTCGACACAGGATTATTTTAATACATGCATAGTATACTACGGCATGTGGAGGTTGTTAGAAATTTCATGGAAGGCTAGGGTAAGCAACTTGGAAGTTTCTAAGAGAATGTGGCAGGAAAGTGTAGCACAGAGGTCAGAGCATTGAGCCAGCATTGTTGAGTTCCTGGGTTTGAGTTCCGAAGTTTAGTGAGTTAATGGTGTCAGTGTGGTTACCAATGATAGCATACAGAGTCAATAATTATTTTTATTGCTTAGTTTGACTTATTCCACCTCTGATAATAAAATAAAAACATAGTTTGAGTGGAATAAGAACACTCTGTATGGCACGTTTGTACTGCTCGTGTGAATGAAGAGGCTGTTGAAGGGACTTAAAAAATAATTCCACGTGACATGATATGCTAAGGCCACGGGATGATACACTACTAGATGCAAAAGATTGAATGGAAATTAAAATGTTTTATGGCCTGATGCCAATAGGAAAATTGGAATATAGTTGGAACGTTTTTAAAACAAAATAATTGTAAACAAAAATAAAGCAGGAAGATGGTATTTGAATGGATGGGATACATTTAGAATGACATTGAACACGTTGCCAGGACGGTCATTGGAGTAGCAACCAAGGTGAAGACCTAAATTCGGATGGTGGGATACAATGTGAGCTGACTTTGTAGGTCAGGCGTTAACTTGGCAATGGCTCCAGAATGTAGCAATGAGACCAAGACTGCTCACTGTGTCACACTTCACAGAGGCAGCTGCACCACTTGGCTAAAAGTCGGCTGTCGTTGTTGCGTCCAGAGACTGGTTGTTGCCATAGTATTGTGAAATGTTAACTGCCGGCTCAGGATCACCAACAGAGACAGAGCACCAAGTGCTCTATAAATGAAGGGGAAACTATTATTTAATAGTTGTCATTATACGGCCAACCACTCTGCACACTGGGTCCTTTTCTCACTACCCAACTCGGTACAAGTTACAGGCTACTGAGCCTCCAAATTGCTGAGCCCCAGCGATAATTGGTGTCGGTATCGGTGAAGAGTGTGATTGTAATTGTGGTGGAGGAGTTTATTTTCCACCACATTTGACCGCAAATAGCATGAACTCGGGAAAAAAGCTGTGAAGGCGAGATCGCGTGACGTTATTTTAGAGTTACACTTTGTCCGTGAGCCAGCAGACTGCCACCGGAGCCCCTCTGGAGCTGTAGTATTTAAAACTTAATTTTCCGCTGTGCCCAGTACGTCCATCAACGAGGCATTTGGTGCCCAATTACTGTTAGTGGCTGGGCTGGCGAGCACCCAGGAAAGAAAGGATGAGCCTCCGTCCTCACTTGAACCATAGCCAAGGGCCGTTATGTGGAATGTGAAGGTGTACATGAACGTGTAACAGTAATGACAATCCGGAATTTACCCAGGCAAGCCTCACCAAGTCTTAAGGACATTTTCCAGATGGGCCCTGCTGGCAGTGTTCGAAAAAATGAGTTTCAACTTTGTTGAGTGTGGGATGAGACTGCAATATACCGTCAAATCTCGGGGAGCCAGTCTCGAGTAAGCAGGCATTCGGGGGGAAAGCCAAGAAGAAGGCTCGCCAGCCCAAAAGAAAGGAACCACAACTCCCACTGGAATGCAGTAACTCGGGCTCATTCAGCAGCATGTGGTCGTAGATTGCATGTGTATGTGGACTAGCAATTCTAAAGCTATGTTTATACTTGTATGTTGTTAGAATCTGTACACGTGGATGCCACGTGCTCTATTAGTTCCCTTTGGGTTGTTTTGTTCACCTTGACTTTGGTTTGCATTCGGTTTACAAATGACCTAAATATCAGCTTCAACAAGACTTATGAAAAAACACTTTCAGCCTTCCACATCCAGTTAGTCCCAGACATCATCCTCTGATTTTTTTAGTACTTTTGTAAATACTAAATTGTTATAAGCGTTGATTAAATGTGGAAGTTGTTAATTACGTGTACACACAATTTAACTTGTTTAGCAATCATGTAGAATTTAATTATTTGTGCTATTCCAGATATCCCCCATAACCGGAAAGGCTGTTTCTCTATTAATCCGGCTACACGAAATTTTACTGTACCAAAGAATACTCGCACATATGCAGTGACAGCACTCAGACTCTGCATATATTAACTTGTTAGAAACCTACTTGCTCTGCTGCCTTTTCCAGGCCTCCTTGCTTCCACTGCGGGAGGCTGTGTCGCACGCATCATGGCAATAGCGAAAACCCTACAATCCACAAACCCTGAGTTCAAATGCTGGATCACAACCATGAACCAACTTGGCTGTCCCAAATGTTGAGGCAGCCAGAAAGTCGAGGCTACTTGTAATACGTTTTGACTGTGTTGGATGTTGCTCGCAGCAGCAGCAGCACCTCTTAGATTGCGTTGAACGTAAGAAGTCTTAGATTATAGTCGCGTCACTGAGACTGCCCTCGTCTTAGCGATCTTCAACAAGAGGCATGCTCTATCACCCTGTACTGTGACTATATATAGTATATAAAATCTATATGAAGTAGACTGGCTTGCAACAAAATACAGGATCACTATAAGACACCTTTAAGCTTTGTTATTTTGTTATTTTTACATCTCTGTTTTTAAAACATACACTATTTACTATTATTAGAAGAAAAACAATTGTCTTGTGAAATGTTTTGATTAGTTAAAACCAAATCACTCAGACTTGATTTGAAGCTTTCGTGACTGCAGGAATTGCTCTTTGGTTTTTTCGGTAAAGTCATGTAGAAAGAAAATAAGTTAAATAATATAATAGACGTTTCGCACGTGGCCTGTAATCCAGCACTGTGTGGGCAGCGAGGATTGGTGGATCGCACAAATGTTGCGAAACTCCCCATGGTCGTTGAGGTGCAATTTACCCATTAATACAATGCATAGTTTCACTAAACACACCTCCAGTTTCATTTTAATCAACTAAAATTCCAATCGTGAACTGGGAATTGAACCTGGAGCCAGCGTGCTAGCCTGTACTTGCAACATCTTGTAATACATCAAGGTTCCCTACCTATATTCGTTGTTTGGGTTTATCTTAGCAGTTGTTTATACCGTATAAGGACAATGTGGATAAAAGGCACAAACGATGAACGTGACATAAAATATAATCGTAGGAAAAGAAAAAAAACTGTTTAGCGACCCCAGAAATCGTACGTCTTTGTTAGTCTCCATGAAACAGTGTGGCAGATGAAGGACTTGTGAATTTCTTTCAAAGGGTTTCATGCAGAGCCACTTTCACAACAGATCAATGGGGAAATATATTTCACCACAAGGTCACGCCCTTTTGGGCCGTGCCCTTTATCCCAGTGCGTTCACCACGGCAAGGATGTTTCAAAGTGGCTCCCGTTATATCCATTAGAGAAAGCGTCATGCAGAGAGACGTTTTGGCAAAGGAGCCAGGGATCTCAGCTCGGTGCCTGCAAGGGGCCGCTAACAGGCCCGTGATTTACACGTAAAAATTAGCAACGACACAGCGTCTGTCCCTGTGCAGTCGTGGGTTCTATTGAGACGCACTCTCGAGTATGGAGGCAACACGTTTTGTTCACTAATACAACAGGTAAGTCTCCACTCAACGGGGTAACGACTAAGGGTCATGACCACCACAGATAGCTACGTAACCATACGGGAACACTATATAATCGACCGGGTCAGCTAACACGCTGCCTGGCTCTCGACGGCTTGTCCGACGCCCGAAGACCGAGGATCGAAGACTCGGCTGGCGGATTCCATTCCTTGGGACGGCAACGATGATGACGGCGACCCTGCCTGCTCCTCCGCACCGGCTTTTACCCGCCACAGTGTGGCCGGGCTCCGCTCCTGGCCAGACCCCCTTCCAGATTCTTCTCAAGGGTCCTGGTTCCCCATCACGTGTCCCTCTCATCCCCTTTGGGGGGGGGGGGGGTAGCCCCTTCCACCTTGTCCGGTCACATTTCCTCCCGGGTTCACCCACAGGCCATGTCCTCACGCGTCCCTCTCTCCGTTACCAGGGCTATGCCCCTACAGGACCCCTGTCACTTGCTACTGTGACTGCCCTCCAGTGACCTCTAGGATGTCACTACACCTGTGGCAGTTGTGGTCAGAAAACTGAACCAACACCGCAGGGGTTCAGTGTACGCGGATTAATCCAAGCCCCCAGTGACGTAACGAAAATTCTGTTTATTCACTCAATTCGGTCCAACCCAGATCGGACAAAAATATAGAAATATTACAAATAATATTTTGTGCTATTCACTGCTAGAGCGTATTTTGGCTAACTCTTCCATGATGACCAGACATTGGAAGTGTACCCACACTATACCCCACCACACGTGCTCTAGGTGGACACAGGCAGGGGGGCATTCAAGAAACCTGCACCGTCGTTTCAGGTGCCGTACCAAACGATCAAATTGAACCAGCGACCTCTGGATGGCAAGTTCAGCGCGCTAACCATCCTCTCTTATGTGGTGTTTGTAAAATGCTTAAAACATGCCTTTCTAGTTCTTATTTAAGTGTATGTTGGTGTCAATACATCGTTCATAATGCATCTTTCATAATGTTTAAGAAGGTAGAACCAAGTTTTAAAATATCCTCCTTGTAATCCTTCCTCGTTGAATAGCACGCTTGTTTTCAGCAGTGGCAGCTAGGA